TACCACTAAGCCACACTCTCAGCCACATTGCTATTTTCTGTTTTGTTTGTTTTTAAGAATATCCCTCTTTCTTTAATTCCAGCACTTGGGAGGCAGAGGCAGGGGTATCTCTGAGTTTAAGGCCAGCCTGGTCTACAAAAATGAGTTCTAAGATAACCAGAGCTATATAGAGAAACCCTCTCTCAAAAAACAAGACAAACAAGGAAAAACCCAACCAACCAACCAACCAACCAACAAACAATAACAGACATCTTAGTGGGTGTGAGGTGGTATCTCCTTGTAGCTTAACCCAAGGCTTGTTACTGTAAGCCAGTCTTTGGTGATTGGATCCTTGCCTTCCAGACAGTTAGTCTAGATAGAGGCAAGACACTAGGCTGGGAATCATCCGAACCAGTGCTGGAGGGAAACCTAGACACCAAGAGCCAAGGACAGTCTGAGACTGAGCAGCAGGTCAGTCCCATGCAGGGACCTGGAGGGCGTCCTTGCCCAGCAACCGGTCCCCTGGAGGCCATACCCTCCTGAAGCTGCTGGGCAGCTGCCTGTGAGGGGAACAAGACTGTGCTTGGTCTCAGAATGCCGCTCGAGCCAGGAGAGAAGCAGCCAGTTCCTGTGAGATGGGCTCTGACTGTGGGCTTGACTCTTCTTGGGAATACTCCCACCTAAGGAAAACTAGCTCACCTTGAGGGAGGGGTCTTCACCACAAGAGCCCAGGAGAACCAGAAGCTGATGGGACAGGAAGAGCAGGGTAGCCGGTCTATGCCCCCAAGCCTTCCAGGCTGTCCCTATCCACCAGAGCAGCCCACCAGCCTCAGAGAGTCAGTTCTACAGGGAAGGATTCTAGTCCAGCCACCTAGGAGCAGAGTCAGGGCCTCGGGGCGAGGGTCTAACTCACAGCCATCTCAGGAGCCTGGTGTTGCCACTGGCACCCTTGTGCAACGATTGCACAAGAGACACTGTCTTGGGGAAAACTCCAAGAAATCTGTCTGCAGTAAAAGGCAGGGGTGGAAGGCAGGGTGCTGCCACAAACTAGAGCTAGAATGGCAGGAAGAGGAGGAGGATACGGGGTCTGTGCAGGGAGGGGCCCCAGGAAAAGACAAAAGCAGTCACGTCTCAGACAGGTGGGAACATTGTGGGGCTGAAGCCTGAACCCGAAATCCAGACATGGAGCATGGAATGGTAGACGGGGGGGGGGGGGTTTGAAGCTGGTACCTGAAACTGGCAAATGAAAACCGATAAAGGATGTTGCAATGCCATCCATTAATTCGTTCTGTGAGAGCTCCCCCCCCCCCTGCCGCCCCGGTGCTGTTAGCCGAATACCTCTGCTGTTTCCCACACACAGACCTGGCAGCCTTACACAGACACGGAGTCTCCAGACTTCATCTGAGGAGCCCATCTGGTTTGAAGTAATACAACAAGCAGGAAAGGGAACTGAATCAAAGGCTTGATGTGTGGTTAGGGAAACGCAAAGAACGTGAGACTCACTGCCAGGAGGAAGGTCCCACCAGCCTTGCAGGGCCAGGGGCCCAGGCTCTACTTGGTCTGGGCTAGATCCACAGAAGGATGTAAAGGTAGGTGGAGAGATGCAGGAGGAGGGGTGGCGGGGAGCAGACTCATTGATCAAGCTCAGCTGGAACCCCGAGAAACACACACAGGACCAGAAACATAGACAAAGAATGTTCCAGAGTCCACACAGATCCCAGCACCACCACAGCACCAAGGGGAAACTGAGGCACAGAGCCCGGGCCAAGTAGCCTGCCCTGCTATCCTGCCTCCTTGGCCATCCCTCAGTGTCTGCCAAGGCCATGCTGACCCTGTTCCCTCTGGCTGCCACTTTGATCTGCAGTTCACCTGGAGCTGCGTGTCTTGTCCTGCACTCTGTCATCAGACAAATCACGCACACTCCTGATTCCCCAGCTGAGGCTGGGGGCCAGGGTTGCAGAACAGCCAGGGTCTTCCTGTCAACACCACTCTAGGCACCCCTCAGCAGTCTCCCCTTGTCCTCTGCATCCCAAATGTTTCCCTGGGGGAAGATCCAAGCCAGCGCGGTGCTCCCCCACTCCCCTTCACACAAAGGCACCATTGCCGAACAGGCGCTCCTGGGGGTCCCTAGCAGGCTGCATGTGGCTCTGGACATCGTCTCTTCCTCCCCTAGTGGTAGCTAGTTCTCCAGTTGGGTGTTTATTATATTTCTGAAGAATTTTGAGACATGAATGGGAGCCTAGACTATCTGTACCATCTAGGGATCCCTGGGAACAACATAGGGGAGAGCTGAACAACTGGGGTGTGGGTAATGAAGGAGATGCAGATAAAATAAAACATTGGGTCCCCACACGGGACAGCAAAGCAACTTGCAGCACGGCAGGGCAGGCAGCGGAAACTAAGGTGAAAGAAAAAGACAGTGGCTCCCTTGGTCATCCAAGTCAACTCTAACAACCGACAATAGTTCATGGGCTAGCAGCAGGAGTAGGAGACCTTTCTCCTTTGGAAGGGTCTTTGTAGCTCTGACTGTCCTAGAATTCTCTATATAGACCAGGCTGACCTAGAATTCACAAAGAACCACCTGTCTGTCTCCTGAGACCTGGGATTAAAGGTGTGCTCATTTCTCTTTCTTAGTTCTAGAAACTGGAAGGGTCTGCTCTCATAAGGGCTGCAGATGGCCATATTCTTGAGTCTTCCTGTGGCACAAGAGCGAGGGGCCCCCTTTTTAAATTTTATTTTTTATTTTATGTGTATGGGTGTTTTGCCTGTGCCTATGTTGGCAGTGCTGGTAGAGGCCAGAAGAGGGCTTCTGTCAAATGCTCCTGAATTGGCTGTGGCCCATCCAAAGCGACTGTGGGGTCCTGAGAACTGAACTCCAGTCCTCTGGAAGAGCAGCCAGTGTTCTTAACCACTGAGCCATCTCTACAGAACCCCTGTCGTCTTTTAAATGGCTGTTAATCCTTCTCAGGGGAGCTCAACCCACTCCCACATTCTAAAGGCTCTGCCTCCAAATACCATCACATTAGGAGTGCAAAGTTTGTGCTGGGGTTGTGCACAGTAAGAAGACAAGGCAGGACATGATGGAGCAAGTCTTTAAAGGATTAAACCCCTCATGAAGCAGAGGCAGGTGAATCTCTGTGAGTTTGAGGCCAGTCTAATCTACACAGTGAGTTCTGGGACAGCCAGGACTACATAGCGAACCCTTTGTCTGTCTGTCTATCTATCTATCTATCTATCTATCTATCTATCTAGCTAGCTAGCTATCTATCTCTATTGCTTGATATATATATGTATGTATGTATATATACATATATATATATACATATATATATCACCAAGCAAACAAACAAAAAGCCAGATTGGCTATCACAGAAAAAGGAACTTCTGAAAATCCACCTCCCATAAGGCAGTCAAGGGCTGTTCAGAGGCAGCTGCCCATAGGAGGTCAGCTCCCTGGGATCAGCGGCCAGGAAAAGTGCCAAGCAGACCCACAGTAAACCATAAAGGAGGAAGGAGAACATGACAGCAGTGTGCCCCTGCATGGCCTCCTGTTTACAAGATGTTTTTAGGTTCATCCCTGGGGACGAGGGAGAAGCCCCTTGGTCTTTGAGGGTCGCTTCATGGTGCAGAGAGCATCTGTCTCTGCTGCCTCTGGCCGACACTAGGAATCACACCGGTGAGGACCTCAGTCATAAAATGTGCTTTCGCGTGGCTGGTCGAGGACCGGTTCTCCTTGTGAATGTGCCAGCTCTGTGGGAGCAGGGATATTTTCAAGATCAGTGAGTTACACACTTAGGGTCTTTGCTCTGTGATGGGTTCCACCCCTATTTAGAAAAGCCAGGTGCTGGGACAGCTTGCTTCAGCCTTAAACACAAAAGTGGAGCTCTCTACTGAAACTGCCCTGCTTGCTGAAAGAATGTGATATGGCTGCATTCCACGGGGGAGAAGGGCTGCCTGAAGCCGACCATTGCCCTCTGTGGGACAAACCCCAGGCTACCACTCCAGTAGACACGGAGCTCCTGGCTTCCTAGGGACAAAAGTATGAGATGTGGAACAGAGCCCACTGTCGCTTGCAGAAGGAAACTTGCTGCCCTCAGAAGAGTTCCCTGCAGCTATGGCTCCTCTGGTCACGTGGACAGATGCTTCAGAAGTCTTCACGCCCTGGTGCTAGATGCCCTTGGAGGGAAGGGGCTGGCCACCCAATCTGGGACAGGTCAGACATGAGACAAAGTTGGACTGAAAGTGCCTGGGAAAGGGGTGTCTCAGCTGGCAGCAAGCGCCATGAACACACTGAAACAGAAGACCAGGGACAGAACCCGGCATTTCCCATTTGTTTGAGGCAAAAGTCAGCCTTGACTCTGGCTGGCCTCCGGTTGGCCCTTCCTGCCCAGGAAGGGAGGGATCAAAGGGCTCCTTTGGCCACTTCGATGGTGTTGAGTTAATGGAGACAGGTCACCCAGCCACCTGGCCTGGGGAAAATTGCTTCACACGGGAGTTTCAAGATGACTCACGACCACTGTCATTGTACGCCGCCCCCCCCTCGCGCTCCCTCCCTCTGTCACTCTGTGGGGACTTTTAGTGAATAAAGTCAATAAACAGGGGAAGCGCAACTCTGGGCTCGTGCCAAGCCAGGGCGCTGCTGGAAGAGGAATCCTGTTTTTGTCTTTTTTGCCTTCTTCCCACATGCCATCTGAGGCCGGATGGACAGTGTCCTGTCCAGACCATCATTCCCGGCTTCCACGGAAAAACTCGTAGGTCTAGTCCTGCAAACTGGTCAGCGCTCAGGCCCGAGTTCTGCAGTACGAGTTGCAGATGTGGAGAACTGAAGTGAAAACCACTGCCTGCTCTGGGGACAGCCTGTGGGGGCCCGGGGAGCTGTCCGAGAAAGGGGAGGGCTGGTTAGAGCTGTGGAGACCCCTGCTCGCCCCATTAGTGATGGGGCTGGGAAGACCAAGTCCCTCACTCCCAAAGATGCCCGCTCGAATTGGTTGCAAATAAATAGCCACACTGGCAGTTTCCAAAAGAGGCGAAACCGTTTATGAAATCGGCGCCGGTGCAGTATCTACAGTATCTACACATATCTACACATATCTACACCGCCCGCAGGCGGGGCTCACTCGGGTCGTCTACACTGCAATTGCCGGCCGGGCCGGAGGCGACGCGGTCTCGCGGAGAACAATAAATACCACTTCCTTCCGCCTCGGACGGGAGCTTTGGCACTGGCGGGCCGGAGGCCCGCAAGGCTCCCCAGCGGGGGAGCGCGTCCTTAAGTGGCCCTTGGGGCCCACGCGGGCGCACTATCTGGGGCAGTAGTCATAGGCACCGGGAGGCGCAGCCGCCGACGAGTACACGTTGGCTGCGGCCGCAGCGGCGGCTGCGGCAGCGGCTGCGGGGTTCACCGCGGGGTGGTGGTGGTGGTGCGGATGCGCGTGCGGGTGCGCGTGCGGATGGTAGCCGTGGCCGCGCAGGCCGGGCAGCGGATAGGGCGCCGGCCGGCTCTTGGCCCCGAGGTAGTGGTCGTAGGCGGCCGGGTACTTGTAGGGATGGTGGTGCAGCGGCTCGGACGCACCCGGCGCTTCTAGGCGCAGCTCGGGATGCGGGGGACTATGTCGGCCTCCGGACGCTCCGGGTAAAGGGACGAGACCGCCGGACCCGGGCAGTGCGGGGCTCAGTACGCGCGCCAGCAACTGCGGCGGGTGCGCGGCGTCACCGAGCGCAGCGGGTCCGGAGTCACGGTCGAATTCTCGCCGGGCTTCGGCCGCGTCTGCTGGGAGAGCCGGGGATGAGAGCCGGGCAGGGACTGTCCGGGACGCACCTGCCGGGCCACAGCCCCCACCCCCACCCGGGTTCGCGCCGTCCGGGGCGCGGCGGGCGGGGTAGAGAGCGGGAGGACGAGTGCCCGCTTGCCCGCCCGCCACCTCCTTGTGCAACGGATGAAGCCACGACGCCCCGGGATGCAGGCGAGGCCGGGTGCGGCGGCAGACCCGGGCGGAGCGCGCACGGGCTGCGACCGCGATCCCACGACCCCAGATCCTACCTTTCTCCGCGCCGTTGGGCTGCGTAGGGGAAGCCACGGGGTTCCGAGAGCGAGCAAAGGCACTCACAAGCGGCAGCGTTCCGGGACGGTGGTTCCGGGGCCTGCAACGGGGAGAGGGTCACTTCGGGCATCCAGGCCAAGCGCGGGGGGGGGGGGGATTTTCTTTGGAGGGCACTCACCAGTCCTCGGGGTCGCAGTCCCGGAAGCCTTTGGCGAAGGGATTGCTCGCAATCTTAAGCTGCGTGATCTGCGGAGAAGCCAAAGTAAGCTAGCCGTGTTAGCTGCCCGACCTCGGCTGAGGCGGATAGGGGAGTGTTTCCAGCTTTAGAGGGGTAGGTCTTCTGCACTGTCTGGAAAAGAAGGGGCCCACAACTGCCCCCTGCCCCTGCCTGATGCGCCTCCTCTCTCGCTAGACCTATCTTTGCCTCCCCAAATAAGTGCCGAGGACGAGTGTCCCTGGCTGGGATGGGAAAGTGGTCACCTCCGTCCTCCTCAGCCCCCCAGCACAGAGAGGGCAGCAGAGCTGGCGCTCTAGGAATCTGGGTGAAGCTCAGATCAGGCCTCTGATGGGGAGTTTCCGGAATGGTTTGGAAAACAAACTCTGAGACTGCAGTGACAGTTGCTGCTACAGAGGTCAAGCTGATATAGGAGGTTGGGCCGGCCTATGGAGGGAGAGGGCAGAGGTGTGCCTGTCCCAGGACCCCCCAACAGGCCCTCACCCGGTGGTTCTGGTAGGCGGTAACCGCAGTGAAGCGTGTCTCCTCAAATACAAAGGTTTTAAAGTTCTCCTCTGCATACTTTTCGCTGTCTTTGCGAGGGTCCACGTAGACAACATGGAAGCGGGGCTGGTATCTGTGCATGGAGTTGAGAATAATCTGGAAGACAAGGGTGGGAGTCAGTTCCAGCCCAAGGCTGGGGGAAGATTCAGGCCAGAATCATGAGAGCGAAGTCTAAGAAACTGCATTTCCTTAGTTTTGGCAAATGCCCTCATTCTAAAGAGGCATGGGGCCTTGCAGCCCATTTAGGCCCTCCAGAGAAAGATGCCGGCAAACGGTGGGGTTGTAGGTTCTTTTGTAGGTCCTGTCCTTTCCTTCAGACCCCAAGGATGGCCCAAGGCCTGCAGGGTGGTAGCTGCAGGACAGAGCTCCACCCAACAGGAAAGCACCCCTCCCCCAGGCTGGGATTCCACAGGCCTCCTGCCCTCTTCTTGCGAAGGGTCTATCCTTTCCAATTAAAGAGCCCCCCCCTCCCACCGTGAGCTCAGCGTCGGGAAGAGAAGGGAGGTGAGCCCACCTCAGGCCAACGCCACCCTGTCAGAAGCCTGCACCTGCCCCAGCGCTGCCCCAGTACTGCCTCTGTCTCTAGTCGGTGGGGACAGTCCAGAAGGAAGAAGGGTGCCTACATGGCCGTTGTCATCCAGCAGGTTATTGGTCAGCTTCAGCTTGTCGAAAGACACGATTTGCTTCATCCACTGTGCGCCCTTAGCTGGCGAGTCAGGGTGGTAGTGCACTCGGCCAGGTGTGGCAGGGTCTGCCTTGCCAGCCACCAGCCAGGAGGAACTGTGGAAGGCATACCTAGGGCAACATAGTGGAAGGGGTCCCGCTATTTAGGGGAAACAAGAAGATCCCTGCTTCAGAATTCTTTCTGTTCACGGCAAAATCAAGACTCCCAAGTCACAGTGGCTAGAGAGGGGACTGTGGGCAAACCAGAAAACTGAAATGTACAGGGTGGGTGAGGGGAGTTTGGGCCCTACTGCTGCAAAAGAGGAAGCCACTCCTCTCTTAAATTTCGCTGCAAGCGGGTCAGCCTGCCCCAGGGCCCAGGAGGCAGGAGACTGGATTTGGCGTTAGTGGCTTTGGGCACAGGGCGGTCCATGTTCCCTTTATTAATTACTGTTAATTGTCCAGGCAGCCCAGGCCCGCCCTGCATAATCTTTACCAGCCACCCCACCTTTCCGGCCCAGCTCTGGAACCAAAGGTTCTCTAGAGATGGGGGAAGGGGACAAGACGGTCACCAGGAGACAGGGGTAAGGTGGCCAGCCACACAGGCAAAGGCATCTGAGCTGCCGGCTGCCAGAAGCTCAAGAAGTTACTACAGTAAGTTTCTGAGGAAGCTCCTAGAGAATAAGTAGGGGTGAGATTTAAGCAGGGAAGGGGGAGCAGGGCGAGAGCCGTCTGTGGAGCAGCCAGTACAGGAGGACGGGTCATGAAAGAGTTATTTGGCTAGTGTGGTATTTGTAGTCTATCAGCAGTCAGGGAGTCGGTTTTCTCTAGCACACCCTCCCTGTTCCTTGAACACACAGCTTGTCCCAGTGGTCCCAAGGGCTTGCTCACCGGTAGCGCTTGTCATCCACAGGCACAAAGTCCATGAGCAGCATGTAGTCAGCCATGGGATCCATTCCAAAGAGCTTCACTTGGAAAGTGGGGAACATTCGCCTGGGGGAGGTCAGGTCACCTCAGGTAGGAGCGGACAGGACAGTTCTCTACTCTTGACTTCTCTGACCGGGCAACCCCTAACCCAGTCTGTCTGTCTGGTCCCTCTTTAGCCGCTGTCTTCAGCCTAGCCCCTCAGTCTTGCCCTATAACCTCAAGAAGGCCCTTATCCGACCATGGGCAAGGCAGCAGCAGGCTGGGACCCAGGTCCTTCTCTGAAAACACAGAAACTGCTAACCAGGCGCCTGAGCTGGACAAGCCCAGAGCCTATTTTGTCTTCTTTGCCCATACAGACAGCCTTGCCCAAGGAATTCCTTAACCTTCTGGACTTAACCTAAGCCAGCAGCAGGATACCTAAGATCCTGGCTTCTCTGTCCTTCTCGGAGCCTCCTCTGCTTGATCCAACAAAGTGAAAGAGTTCCCCGGCTCTGACAAAATGAAACCGAGTGCTGCAGTGATTCCAAGTCTCCACTGCGGCTGTTGTCTAGTCCCCCCAGTAAAGTGGGCACCCCAGAACTCCTATCTCCAGCTCTCAAGACCCGATCAGACTCTCCCACCTTCTGTAGGACACAGGCAAGTCCCCACTTCCCCATAGAATATGCTTCCAAAGGACTTAGACTATGTGTTCCCTCCCTCTGCTCTGAACCCCTCCAGTGACATTCAAGGCCCTTGTTCGTCTGCCTCGGACCAGGAGGCCAAGCTGCTCTCTTCAGTCGTCTGTGCGGGTATGGACAGCAAAAAGAGCCTGGAGAAAATCCACAGAGCCACAGGGAAGGACAGGCCCTAGGTTCCCCAGGGATGGCTGCACAGCAGGGAAACAGAAACCTCGAGAAGGCTTTGCAAACAGGCCCTGAGCCTCCTTGGCCACGGAGCTGGTGTGTACATTAGACACAACCCAGCACCCGCCTTTGTCTACTGGTCAAATCTAGAACATCTGCAATTGTTCCCTTTCCCTCTCGGCCCTTAAAACAAATAACAGGGTGACTGGCACGGATACCCGGCCAGGCTTAAGGAAAACTGGGCCCAAGAGCGGCCGAAATTGAGGCCCAAGAAAACCGGCTCTCAAGTTCCCGGAAACTGGGCGCACTGGCTTTTAAAGGGTCTTAATTCTCTCCTAAAATTATCTATACAATTAGGGGGTGTTTGTTCTTGAGATCGCCGTGCAGACTGAACCCACGCGGTAGTTTCCTAGGTGGCGGCTGCCTGACCGCAGTCGGGCGCACTCTCAGCCCACAGATTTCCCTCGCGGAGTTCCAGGACTCACGGTTGGTGCTCTGCGGGTTGTCGCTGGAGCCGGGTCAGCAGGGAGGCCAGAGGGTCCCGCAGGTGGCGGGCCGCACCTCCACCCGATTCTCGGCCAGGCTCCAGCGCATCCCTTGGACACTCAGCTAGAAGCGCCGCACGCACGTGGGCAGGGGAGGGGGCGCCTGACCTGCCCGCCTTGGTGACGATCATCTCGGTGCCCAGCTGATTGAATTCGTCCCACAGCGCCTTCATCTCCAGTTGCACGCTCACGCTGGCCACCTTCGGGTTCTTCTTCACCGGCGCCTTGGCGGCGGCGGCGCGGGTGGCCCCCGGACCCTCGGGCTCGGCCGCCGCCGCCGAGCTACTGGCCGCCCCGGGGGCGGGCGCGAACGGGTAGGCGCGCGGCGGCGGCGGGCCCGGGGCACCGGGGCCGGCGGCGCACGGGTCGTAGCGCGGTGGTGGCGGTTCGCGCGGGCCGAACGGGTCGGCGCCAGGCGACGGGGCTCCCAGGCCGCTCAGGCTGCTGGCCGCAAAGGCTGCAACGTCGCAGAAGTGCGAGAGCTGCGTGAGCCACGGGCTGGACACGGCGGAGATCATGACCCGAAGGCCGCCCGCCGCAGATCACTGCGCCGTCCCGCGCGGCGGGCCGAGTGGCGGGCGCAGTGCCGCACGCGCCCCGGGCCGCACCGCCCCACCCCGCGGGCCGGCCCCGCGGAGCCGCCCCGCCCCGCCCCGCCCCGCCGAGACAATGGCCCGTGCCCCTCCCCCCCGCCCCTCCCCCGCCGCGGTTCCGCGGGCCCGGGCCCCCCGACCGCTCCGACCGGCTCCTGGGACGACGGGACCGGTGTGCGGCCCCTGCTCATCGCCAGCGCGTGCAGGCTTCTGCTCTGCCCCAAGTTCCTGCTCCTCTACCTTTTGTGTCCCGGGTTCCAACTTCTCATCACAGCGCTGTCTTCTCTCTGCAGCTTCTCCTTAACTCCCAGCCTCTCACTCTTTTCTCAGTGACACTCTTTCCCCTCTCAAAACTCCTTGCTCTCCCTTTCGTCTAACCTCTTCTTATTTCTGTATGTTCTCTAGTATTCGTCTATTTGCCCCTTTAACAGTAAATAAATCTGAAATCTTTCTCTTGTTCTTTATCTTTAATGACGTTATTTTTTGTCTCAAAATTTCCTTCATTTTCTCTTTCGTTATCTTTATTTCCTACGTGCGTATCTTCCTTTTTTCTTTCTTACCATTGTTGCATTTTCTGTTTTCTCAATTTCTTTTCCTCTAGGCTGATCTCGATGCTTTGTACTTTTATTTATTTGTTTGTTTGTTTGTTTTAGTCCCCCTCCCTTTTACTGTGTTCCCTGACTCTTCTCTATCTTTCCTCCTGCCGGTTCAAAGCCTCCCGTCGTCTTCTCTCTTGAAGACCTTGTTACTGTGCTCAGTCCCCAAGATTGGCGTCTTAGAATGGTGGGTGGACTGACTTTGGGGAATGCCGGCCCTTCCTCCCTATTCCAGAGTCCCAGTTTCAAGGTTGGCGCCCACCGGGCCTAGAGCTCTTTTCTACCCGCTGGGCCTCAGGGCCTCACAGCAGGGGGCCGGCGAGCGGCCAGTCGGTGTAGACGCGGACAGAAGGCTCACCTTCCATGTCCCTGGTGACTGTGCTGAAGTGCATTCCGGCTGGGGATCCTGGTAGCCGGCGAAGTTTCGCCCGGTCCGAGGGCCTAGGGCCCCGGTGGGCGGCGCCCTCCGAGGCCTCGGCTGCAACAAGAGAGGCGATGCTGAACGCGCTGGCCCGGGCAGACAGCGGGCTCCGCGCGTCCATAGGCGCCCGGGCCTGACCGGCGCCGCCTCCGACTGCGTACGCCCAGCCGAACCGCGCCCAGCCCAGTGCAGGGGGCCCGGGGGCGGGGGCCTGTAGTGCCACTCACAGCCGTCGGTCCCAGGCCCAGGGGATTATGGCGTCATGAGACCCCCCATTTTCAGCCACTATTGGCCCGGGAGTCCGAACTCTTGAAGCGCCCTGGAAATTCAGGGCCCTCCTGCCTTCCAAGCTCTCTGTCCCTGGCCTCTGCTCCCTGAGCCCCGTGTGACCAACGCCCCTTGAACATCCCGCTGCTTCAGCGGAGGCTGGGCGTCCCCTCTATTCGGCGAAGCCACCACCAGAGTTTACAGCCCCCAAGGAGAAGCCGCTATGTCACGAGCACTCCGTCCCAGGCTGAAATGGCAGGGCACTGGTGAGACACTGAGGGGCTGCCTGAGTCTAGCCCAGCCCTTGGCCCCACCTGCCTCCACCTCCTCCCCGGCGGCCCCTGCACCTGGGTAGAGTGGCTCCGGCTCTCGCACAGGCCACAGGCAGATAGCCCCAGGGCTGCGGAGTCCTTCGTCCCTCCGTGCCGCAGAGCTGGACCTCACCAGCAAATGCCCCTACAGGCCCCTTGGGTCAGCTTGCATTCGTGGTGGGGAAGTGAGCCGTGGGACGCCGCCCAGGCCGCACAGCCCGGGAGCCCCAGCGTCACGCGCACCCTGCGCGCACCGCCCGCCTCTGGCCAGGACGCTTTTACATCCGGAGGGTGGGCAGTGCCCGCTCCTCCGACCTCCCTGCGCACCAGCGGGGCGCAGGGAGGGCCGGGGGCGGGGCCTGGCCGGCCGAGGGAGCTGAGGACACGTCGGAGAAATTCAGACCGCATGGCATGGTGGGGTGCTGTCCCCGCTCCTCCCTGCAACCAGCCTGACCATAGCAAGGCCTAGCTGCTAAGGTGCAGGACCAGGCCCTAAGCCTTGGGCCTCAAGGCATCACTAAGCCAATGCCCCATTTCTGCTGCACCTTCTCTACACCTACCATCTTTAGGGCCTCTCTGACCCGTTCAGTATGGCCATGCCCTTTGTGCTCAGGATATGAAGCCCAGAAGCTCTCTGACTCCGCTGAAGACTAGTAGACAAGGCCCAGTCAAGGCCTTTCCCCAGGATGTGGCATGATGCAGACAGCCTGTCCTCGGGTGTTTACAGTCTCATGGCCTCCATCCCTGGGCTCTAGTGACTACCGGGTGGAGACTTGATCAAGGCCAGAGGTGCAGGGAATGGGTACCCGGGAGCTGTGTGAGATGGGTCGGGGTGAGGGTGTGTGTAACTGAACTGCTATCCGCAGGCTGCCCCAGCCCGCAGCTGAAAGTTTAAGAACAAGGCATGTGAAAAAGAGGAGCTGTCGCTGGCTCATTCGTTGGTCCCTGAGTGGTTGGCCATTCATGGGACAGAGTGACAGTGACCTGTGTTACTGGCCTGGGGATAGATCTAAAGAGTATAGTGTGGAGACTAGGTGGGCCACAGGTTCTTTCCCTCTTCCCTGAGCAGGGCTGCCCCATTGCCTCCGGACCCCGGAAGGGACAGCCTCCACAGCCTAGCCCAGCCTTGGGCAGGTGGGCAGGTGCACAAGGGTCAGGGCAGCGGTGCAGAGATGGAGCAGCATCAAGATCTTTGCCCACGGAGGCTGTGTGGATATGTAGAGGAGGGCTCTGGCGGGTGATTTTGCATTGCTGGGATGTACATCGTCCCAGGGTGGAGTAGCTGAGCTCTTCCCCCCCCCCCCGCACCCCTTCCTAGGGCTGCAGTCAGATCCTGGGGCTTCAATGAGGCCAACACTGAGAAGTGAAAGTGAAAAACCTCTGGAAGCCCTGGTTACTCTGGGCCGGCCCTGGGGTCTGTCCTGACGCCCCAGACCTCACCTGCAGTGGTGGGGGAAGTCTCCCTAGTTTCCATTAACCCCTTCCTGCTGTGGCGGCACTTGTGGGCCAGCAAACACTTCACAGCAAAGACACAGGCAGGATAGGAACAATCCCCTGTAGCAGAGGCTCTCTGGGAATGGGTGAGAGAACCCATTTGGCCTGTTCTGTGTGGCTAACGGGCTCCACTCGCAGCAGATGCGCACCCCTTTCTTTGGCCACCGGCATCCTTCCTCTCTAACTCTTCCTACACTAGCAATACCGTAGAAAGTTGGAACACCTAAGAAGACTGGCTTAAGAAACCCGAAACCCTGCAAGTGATAGTCCACCCGACCCTCCAGCTTGCAGTAGAGTAGCTTCCTCAGGACCTCAGGACCCGACTCTTAGGACCGCCCCCACCCTGGGCGCTGCCCTGAAACTGTTGGGTCGGTGCCTGTCGTCCAGTAACGGGCCTGCGCTCCTCTCTTCCCACCGCTGCCTTACGACGGGTTCTAGCCCGCAGCGAAAAGGAACGAACCCATCGGTAACCTTAAACCCCGCGCGCGCACCGGTTCAGAAGGAACGCAGAGCCTTACCCTCGGGAAGTGCTCCTCCCTCACCTGCACCGGCCGCCGCTCCCTTCCGCCTCGCTCCCCCTGCCGGCCGCGCTTCCACCGTGGCGGTAGGAGGCCTGGCTGCGAGCCGGCGGTCTGCAGCAGCCCAGAGCAATGCTGCACGCAGGGGTCGTGGGCTGCACGTCTTGGTTCTGAGGGCGCAGTGCATGGCTGGGGCCTGGCTGCACACCTCCGCTCCTCCGCATGCCATGAAGAGCGAGAGGAGCATTTTTCCAAAGCTGAGGCAGGGGATTGACATCCCTGACTAGATCATATCACGGGCCCTAAAACTGAGGTTTAGCTTCGAGACTGACGGCTGGTAGGAAAGGAATGGGGAGCAGAGGCTTGAGACAGGAGGAGCGGAATGGGACTGAGAAGCTGAGCAGCTGGTTTTTTTGCCTTGAACCATGGGCCCTGCGGCAGGCCGTACGGGCGCCTGGCTGCATCCCAGCACGCCGTCGCTGGACTCGGCCGGCCGCCGCTCACACACCCCTTGGTCGGCCATCTGCAGGGTCTGGAGGCGAATTCCTGAAGTTCCCAGTGCGCAGGAGTCAGACCCCTAGAGAATCCTGCGGGCCTGCTTCGCAGCGGCTCGGCTCCGCCTCCCTTGGGCACACGTGGCTGCCCCAGGGGAACGGGCAGACCAGCCCCCCACCCACTAGCCCCACTCCTCACTCCCCGTCCGTTGTAAAGACGCGGGCCTCTCGGAGCTTGGCTCCCAGCAGCACAAGTCCCTAACGCACCGTCGTCGCTGGCGGCCTGACAGCCCACGAGTCTAAGGGCTTACCGGCTCCCCGAACAAAGTGCGCGGGGTCCAGCGGGCTCCCGGCGTCGACTCCTGGCTACTTGGAGCGAACATGCACACAGGTGGACCCGTGCAGAGGTCGGGCCGCTGGGGTCTCCTCCTCCAGAATTCAGAACGTGGAGGGTAGTCTCAGGCGACGTTCCTCAAGGCGCTGAGGGAGGATCGGAGAGAGGCTGGGCTTTGCGTGACCCGGTTAATTCACTTCAGGATTGATAGCTGGCAATTGCCTCCAGCGCCTGCCTGGACGCGGCTTCAAGAACTCAAAGGAAGCCGGTGGCCATGCCAGGAACAGCTTGCCCGGCTTCTGGGTTGACGTCGGCGGCTCTGCCTGGACGCCGCAGACGCGAACGCGCAGTAGTCTCCGAGGCGCCGGGGTGGCAGTTCGACCTTCGCGGGAGCCGGGAGCCGCGGGCTGCGGGAGGCTCTGCGCTCTTCCCCACTCAGCCCCCTGGCGGCTGCCTCCGTAGAAACCCAAGACCCCTCGGGCTTGTTCCGTCGGCGACCGTCCACGCAGGCTGTTGGCCAGAGGCCGTAACTAAGCCATCCCTGGTGACCCTGGAAGACAAGGGCAGATCCGGAGACCCAGCTCTAGAGGCATGCAGGTAAGAGCCCTGCCTCACAGTCTCTAGGGCCGAATGACTGTGGCCTCCTGCTCTCCCTGGGCTCTAGTAACCCAATCTTGAGAGGAAAATTGGGGGGTAAGTTGTACTGGGGAGAGCGCTGGCGGCTCCGGATCCCATCAATACCTGGATCATACATCCCGCCAGCTCCTGCACGTGCAACCACTAGCACATGCGCCGCGTGTACAAACGCTCTACCCGGCCAGAAGTAGGCGCTGGTGAGTCCTGGTGTGACTTGGAGGTAGAGATCAGGTCAAAGGCAAGGCAGGACTGGGCACAGGAGAGGCATGGCTCTTGTGCCCTTGTGCCATGAATTTTATGAGCAGCAGGGATGCTGCCCAGAGAGAGTGGAGCTAAGCACTCCTTCCCTTTTCTTAACTCAAATTCCCCTATTGGTCTTTGACCCATTTCTCTCCTGGTACCTTCCCTCTCTGAACTGGACCCAATGCTGAGCCTAAAGACCTGTCAAACCCACCTGAGTGAAGCCTTTCATTGGAACTTCCGGGAGGGTACTCCCCAGTTGGCGCTCAGCACTCTGGAATACCGCAGACTGCAGCAAGCAGGACTCCTGGAAATGGGGGATAGCATCCCAGGTCTACAGTGAGCTTTCCCAGAGGAGGATCAGGGGATTCAGGGAGCCATCCTGGTGCTCTGGCTGGGCACCCCTGATGAACAGCCTCCTGTGTGCATCCTGTAGCTGAGTGAGGGCCTGGAGATTTGTCTCTTGACATGCTGATGACTTCTTCACTGAGACTCTTCCTGTGTCCCAGGGCCACCAGACTCCTGTTTTGAGGCAGAGGTTAAACCATTTCAGACCCTGAAACGTCTAGGTCCTGGGGCACTGGTATGGCAGGGGTGAACAGAGGCAAATGAAGGCAAGGTAAGGAGATGGGTGGAGCAGACAGGACCCTCACCTCAGCTAAGAGGACAGCCACGAACAGCTGGCCACCCGCCTCCCACCCACCTAACAGCCTGGCTGCAGTGTTCTGGGCTGTGTCTGAGGTGTCCAGAGGGGAGCTGGTGAGAACGGTGGTCAAGCTGGATGGGCGATACTATCCTCCCAGGTCACCAGAGCCTCCTGCAGGCTAGAAGTCCCCACAACTCTAGAACAAACAAACAAACAGACAGACTGATGGACAGCTTGGGCCTGAGCCCCTCTCCAATTTCTGAGCCTGTTGATTTAGCTGCCCACTTGGCGGAAGAAGCCAGCCACATGGGGAGCCAGCTGTCCATCTTCTAGCCCATGAGAGCCCCTTACCCCAGGTACTGTGAGGTGGAGGTGTGGCAGAGAGCCTCTGATGGCCGAGGTTCAGGCTGGAGGTGGCGGGAGATGGCCTGTGGAGGAGGCAGCTGAGGACAAAGCCTCTCTCCTTCCCTTCCTTGGCCACATCAGGAGATACCACACTGCCTAGGGAAGGAGTCAGCTAGCTCTGAGGAGGCGAGCTGACTCAGGGTGAGTGGCTAGAAAGCCTTGCCAAAAATCCAAGCTTCCCCTCGTCTTCAGGGCACCCCAACAGGATAGGATGCCAGCTACACATATTGCCACACACACATGAGCTCTTGGGAGCACTTACTTGAACATGAATATGTATATGGGCATGCATGCTTACACTGTGAACATATCATATGTCACCATTGGCATAGCTGTCGTCATGCACAGACTGCACAGGGACAAAGACACATGAGCACAGGTACACACATTCATGGTGTACATGCAGACACATGAGCATGGGTACACACATTC